ATCAGCAGTCATTAAAAAAGTTAAAATCGCCCAAATTCATATTATGACTGAATATTAACTATTGGATAGAAGAGGAGGATACAGATTATTAAATAAAAATGTACAATTTTATAATTTTATAATGCTGATTTTTAAAGGTTGCCTGAAAAGATTATCTTTTAGTTCTGTAAGGTCCGATTTTTTTTTTTTTTTTTTTTTTGAGACAGAGTCTCACTGTGTTGCCCGGGCTAGAGTGCCGTGGCGTCATCCTAGCTCACAGCAACCTCAAATTCCTGGGCTCAAGCGATCCTCCTGCCTCAGCCTCCCAAGTAGCTGGGACTACAGGCATGCGCCACCATGGCCGGCTAATTTTTCTATTTTTAGTAGAGACGGGGTCTCAGTCTTGCTCAGGCTGGTTTCGAACTCCTGAGCTCAAACCATCCGCCCGCCTCGGCCTCCCAGAGAGCTAAGAACTCCTGAGCTCAAACCATCCGCCCGCCTCGGCCTCCCAGAGAGCTAGGATTACAGGCGTGAGCCACCGCGCCCAGCCAGGTCCAATTTTAATGTGTAATAGAAAGGTGAGCCTCAAAACTGAAAACTGTAACACAGGCGGTCCCTGGGTTATGGACAAGATACGCTCCCAAAAATGTCTTTTGGTCGGATTTGCATGAACTCAGATCCCTGATGAACAGCACATATAAGGTCATAATAATAATAACAACAATGGTGTAACAGCTCCTGTGTAATAATAATACAGTGTAATACTGTAATAATAATAATAGTAGCACCCCTGGACTGTTATAGTAAATTACAGAAACTATTGTGCTCTTCCTTTTAATTCCTAGGCTATAAGAATGTTACGCTTCTTTTGATCTTCTAACCAAATCATTAATAGCCTTCCCATTTTAATAATTAATCCACTACACTGCTTAGTAATAACTGACGCTTTCATTGGAGCACTGCCTTTCACATGTTCCGTTATTTTGACTTTATAATTGTTCAGATAGTTGAGCACTGAAGCCTGATGCTCTCCCAATGAGTGATGGCATCTGGCCTTTCTCTGAACTCTTAATTATTTCTACTTTTGTTTCCAATAGAATCACCTTTCTCTTTGCTGCAGGCTCACCTGGACTTGCAGTGGACTTGTGGTTTGGAGGCGTGGTCATCAGGATAAACAGTCTCACGAAATCGAATAAAAAAAAAAAGTGATGCCGTGTGTAAGCAACCATAGAAACAGAGACTAGCTGCTATAAAGATGTTGGGCCAACGAACCTTACTTATGCCATGCGAGTTTGTTTACATGCACAAAAGAAACCAATTTCGGAATTATTAATTTAATTATTTCATTATAAATTATCATCACAGAGAGCCTTGGGAGCCCGTTCCTAAGTAAGGAATGCCCCAAGTCGGGTCATCCATAATTCAGGGACTGCCTGTATACCATTTTATTTCTGGTTTATAAGTTGGTCAAGGTGTTTCTCATAAATCTACATAGCTAAGCATGGCTGACAGTATACAAATTATAATCACAAAATCACTCAGACTCCCATAAACTCAAACAACTTTTTTAAACTCAGATAATGTGCCTTATTGTGATAATGGTCAGGAGATTTAATTGCACAGGTTTTTAAACGGCTTCCAAAATTCACCTCGTCCTGTACTTACGAAATAATAGAACACAAATGCATTAAAAATGACAAGTCTTACTCTATCAAAGAAAAAGAAAAGCTAATACCTAAAAGTTTCCTTACCACCTTACCATCCTGAAGATAAAAACTGAAGACTACAAGAACCTTAAGTCTCCATTTAATCTTGAAAAATTAAGTCCTACTTAAAGTTCTAATTAAACAATTTTATGATGCTTTCCAGAAATAGACCTAAAAATAATCAAACTTAACTCTGATGAATACAAAGTTTGCTTCCCTACAGATGGCATGTAAATGTATTTTAATATGAACACTATGATTTCATTTGTGTAAAATTTAAAATAAGACAAAGCTAACTATAGTGCCTGAAGTGAGGATGATGTTTACCATTAAGGAGAAGAGGGCAGTGACAGGGACACGATGGGGTGCTGACAGGTGCTGTTTCCTAACCTGGTTGGTGGCATATTTTTTAAGTGTAAGTGTTACAACTTACAATTTATATACTCTTCCACATGCAAATCTCAATAAAAGTTATAGTTATTGAACTTGGTGATAAACAATACCAGCTAGACACAGACACATAACTATAAATAATTGATGCAAATCTAAATGCAAATTAAAATATTGAAAGGGAAGGCAATTTTTACAAATTGCATATAAAAAAATAAAAAATAATAAAATAACCTAGATCAAAAGAAAACAATAGAGATTAAGTATATGGAGGTAGGCAGATATGCAGAGCCTGGGAGAGGTATGAAACTCCTCACCTTAATGGGGTCAGGGATTAAACAAACTGGTTTATTCATGACTTTAATATTTAGAAAGATATAGGTTCAAAAAGCTTTGAAAAACTTTAAGGTAACCAATAGTAAAATAAAAACACCGTTCAAAGCTTTCAATTCATATTTTTTAAAAAAGACAGTTTATTTAGCAAAGGGAACATGGGAAGAGTAAAAACACTTCTTAATCTACAATTCAATAAGCAATCCCTATAAAAATTTTAAAAAAAATTCTAGCAGAATTGACAGGCTGATTCATATCTAAGTATAAATGTGCAAAAACGACAGAGAGGGCCGGGCGCAGTGGCTCCTACCTGTAACCCCAGCACTTTGGGAGGCTGAAGTAGGAGAATTGTTTGAGGCCAGGAATTTGAGACCAGTCCGAGCAACAACAGCAACCATCTCTACAAAACATTTTTTTTTAATTTTTAAATTTTTTTTGTATGTTCTAGAGAGGTACGGATCAGTTTCCACGAGTGGAGAAAGACCTCTACAAAGCATTTTTTAAAAATTAGCCAGGCATGGTGGCGCACACCTGTAGTCCCAGCTACTCAGGAGGCTGAGGCAGCAGGATCACTTGAGCCCAGGAGTTTGAGGTTGCAGCGAGCTATGATGACACCACTGCACTCCAGCCCAGGTGACAGAGCAAGACCCTGTCTCCAAAAAAAAACAACAGAGAAACTATGAAAAGAACAAAGGGTAAGGACTGTCTCTACCAGATTTCAAACCATAAAGTAGAGTTACTTAAATAATACTGACAAACAAATAACAAACAGAAGAGAGTCCAGAAATAGATTTGGGTAAACAGAGGAATTTAGTATATGATAAAAAACAGTAAAACTTTTAGGGAGTCAGTTAAGGCTCACTCAATAGTAAAATAATTCTTCATGCTATTCTTACAACTTTTTTATAAGTTTGAAATAATGTGAAAATAATTAAAATAATAATTTTTAAAAGTACAATAACATACACAAGATATTCAGATATATAAAATAATCTATGATTCAATCCTAAAAAAACCAAATTCACAGGAAAATGGGCAAAGGATACAAATAGGCAATTAGAAGAACTAAAAATAACCAATAAGCAAGAAAAGGTCAGTTTTACTAGTAACCAGGCAAATGCAAATCAACACCCTAGTGCAATGTCACATTTCATACGGTAGATGAAAACATTTTTATTAAAGTTGGGGAATATAAAGTATTGACCAGGGCAGAGGAACAAGAACCCTAAGAGATAGCTGGCAGTAGAGCCAGCTGAGCCAGTTGTGCCAGAGTTCACAACGGCAGGAAGCATGAACCCCCCGCCCCACGGTGCCGCCTCCCATCCCAGCACCTGCGTTGGAGAACACCTAAGTATGTGCAGGGAGGCACATGACAGGATTCGCATTTTAATAATGCTCACAACATTAAAAGCTATAAGGAATATAATCTCTACCAATAGGAGAGCTGCTTAAGAAAAATGGACCTGTCCACACAGCGAAACAGTGCGTAGTAATAAAGTAAAACTACGTACACTGTCGTGGAAAGAGCTACAAGAAGACTGAGCGACCTGCACTACATGGATGCACATGCGCAATGCTGTTCATGTGTTCCAGATGCATACGCACGAACTACCATATACTGTCGGTTCTGCTATATGCTTATTTTAAAAACAATAACGTAACGGCACAACCAATAATTCAGGAAACAATTTGAACATAATACAAACTTCATGTTTGCTATGTGCAAGATCATCCATAAGAAACAGTAGGTGAGCTCAGGCTACTGCACCCAGCTGAGCCCACACACAGGCACCCACAGTCCCACACAGGGCACACCTGGCACCTCACCGCATCCCGTGCCCTCATCCTGTCTCAGATGCTGGCCCTCCCCTCTTCACATAACACAAGATCTGCAGACCCCAAGGCCCACTTCCACAGGCAAATGCCAGGGCTTTTTTCAAGGTCAATATCATATTTGTTGTAGTATTTATGTGTTTCTTAACTATTTCACACATGCTATTAGGTTACCACCTTTCTGTTTTTTCATTGTTGCTGACAAAGGTTCTGAGTGCAGTGCCCTCACCCTACTCCCCACCAAAGCCCCTGTGGCTTTATTACGTGATTTTGCATAACAATGATTTTTAAGAAACACATGTTGTAGTATCGCAGAACTGACAGTATTTCAATAGATACATATACAAATAGCTTGTTTCACTCAAACTGTCAGTACCACAGTTAGCCAAAGTGAGTTTATAAAGGAATCATGTAAGGCAACAGAGAACCCACGATACTGCCCCACAAAGAAAACTGCGCTAGCACTCAGGAGACCTAGTCCTTGCTTTGCCATCAACTTGTTAGTAAGCTCAAACAAGAGGTTTGGCTTGCTGAGTTCTTCACTATTCAAATTGGGATAACACTTTTCCACTAACAAATTTGTTGTCAATGAGATGACTGGCTTTCAAAGCATTGTGCAAACCATGCACAGCATGCAAAAGAGGTGCATTCGCACTCCTGTTAAGTGAAAATGGTTATCACGGGGAAAAAAAACAAAAAAGTGTGACTGAGTGTCCACGCTTTTAAACCCAAGTCTCAGAAGCACATGTCACTCCTTACTTCATGGTACGTGTCCTCAAGCTCCCCATCGTATATCCAGCGGTAGAGGAAGCTCAGGATGGGGTGAGACACAAGGCTGAGGATGTGCTGCACCAGGGACCGCATGTACGGATCTCCTGTTTTCGTGTAGGCATGGACGGCCGAGGCCAGCTCACCTCCTTTCCTTCCTGGGGGGAAAATGGGGAAAACACCCAAATTTAAAAAGACAAACCAATCACTTCACACTAACAAAAGATGGTCAAGTAATAGAGATAAAGTGCATCATTTCCTGACAGTTGAAGCCACTTTAGACCTAGAAGCAGCAGTAACATGTAATGAGTCCAGGTAATAGAGACACAGATTCTGACCTGGAAAACCTTTGACTTTTCCAGAACCCCAGACAGTCACTTCTCGCTTCCGGACTACCAAGGAGTTTTCAGCAGCAAAAAGCAACTAGCTACATGACCTAGAGTTCACATGACTTCTCACAGCTTTTTGACTGAAATATGTCAAGATTCACACTTTGTACTGCAATTCAGTACACAAATGTATATAAAAAACAAAAGTTCTATAAATCAATACTTATACTTTTTTTGGTGTAATACGCTAGTCTCACTAACTGGTATCATAACCTATTAACTGGCTGCAACACATGTGAAAAATGCTGGTTTGTGTTGAAAGAACAACTCTCGTAACCCGGCAAAGAGCTGCACGTGAAGCACAGCAAAAATCAGGTCCAGGAACGTAAGCACAGTAAGATTTCCTGATATTATGCTGAGAATTCAAGATTTTATCAGATCACTGAAAGACTGAAAGGACAGGACTGGCCTGCCCTGCCCTGAAGACTGCTCTGGCAAGTGTGCACAGAGTCGGGTGGTGAGGCAGAAAACGGGGGGCAGTTAGCGGTTCCTACAACAGCACCCACAGCACGCACAGAGCACAGATGACCAGAGTGCGGCAGGGACAAGGCTCCAGTGGCTAGCTGGACACAGAGAGCCAGAGGACTCGAAGGAAGATTAGGAGGAGCCTGGTGGAAACCTGGCCATGGAGGAATACTGGTACCTGGAGAAAACCCAGGTATTTATTTCCTGTGTGTGACTTCTTTGTTTTTTGAGGGAAGTGCCAAGAGGGAGGAGGGTACAGACGGTGTGGCCATGAACATGGACCTCCAGGTCCCAGGAATCACCCAGGACAGAGGATGGCAGCTAGCAAGGAGTCCATCCCGTGCAGGCCTAACAACCCTAAGAGGTAACCACTGTTAGGATCCCAATGTTACAAAGGAGAGAAAAGACAAAGAGGTTCTTGGCTAAGGTAGCACAGTGAGAAAGAATGTTCAAAGACAACTAGAAATATAGGACCTACAGCCCAAGAGAGGCCTAAACTAGACATGCAAATATGGGAACTTGCAACACAGAGACAGCAAACACAGACATGGCCCCTAACCTCACAAGGGAAGAAAGAAAAAAATGAAATGCCAGGAAAGGCTACCAGTTAGGAGACAAGTTCAGAAGAGCAAACGTCAAGAGTCCTAACACTGAGGACCACAAAAAGGAGAAATCTCTTTCCATGACACCCATAGCTTCTACAAGTATAAATACTGGACCACACTGGCAACCGATTATTTTCCCTCTCAGTTCACAGTTATTAACTCATATTCAATCCACATACTTATGGCCATTAAAGACACAAAAGGGCAGGACACAAAAGCAAAACTGGATGGCCCTCCCTCACAAACAAGCTCTGAAATAAAGCAAAAGATACACAAAGTGACCTTGACAATGATCCACCAGGGCTGCAAGGGTCTTCAGTCTTATTTTGGGATCGTACGTCCAAACGAGGAGGCGCCGCAGTGTTAAACTACTCTCAAGTCCCAAATTCACACCCTGATCATCCTCTAGCTGCAGCTAAAAAACAATGAAGAGAGTATGTTTAAGTACAAATAACTGAACACATCACATTTCTTAATCCACATAAAGTGAATATAAGGTCCCCTTAGAGAAAACAATAATACTTTTAGGCTACAAGTGGCCTTTAAATGGTAAACAGGACCCTAAAAATTAGCAACTAATTGGCTCTAAGATACACTGAAACTTGATAGATACTCGGATCTTACAAATAGTATTATGAAACGGATTGCTATATTTTAAAATATATGAAGTAACTTAAAATATCTTACATATCTTCAATTTTTTAACAGTTCAAATCATGAGGAAATTATAAACAAAAAATATTTACCTGGGAATGTAAAACAGAGAGTAATCGGTAGTATTCTTTGAGTTCTTGGTGCAAGGCAGCACAAAAGCTCTGTTTTGAAAGGAAAAGTATAATTAAAGCAGGACACTGATTCACTTTAAGTGCAAAGGCATGATGCTTTCAGAGAAAGCTCAGGTGCAGTTCAGTGTGATCTAAATTCTGGTTCCATCAATGGCCTAGTAGTTTTAACCACAATATATATTTTAATAACATTCGAGAATTATTGTTCCTTAGTGTAAAATGCAGGAACATTGCAGAAGAGGAATAAAAAAATGTAATATGGTTTTCATGAAGTTAAAAGCATAGTCACATTAGAGAATGATCCTTTATCTTAAGATTATGTCCCTTCGAAATTTCTAGGATTAAAATGTAATTTTCTTTAATATTCTTAATCAAAAAAATTTAAAAATTGACAAGTCAAAGCCAACTCCCCTAATTTTTTTTGTTTGCACTACTTGTCTTCCCTTCCCATCACTGAAAACTCCTTTGTGCATCTCCAACATTAAATACAGACGAGGGGTCAAGTCAAAACAACAGGATCAGACCTGCAAGAGGCACCTTCACGGACCTGCAGGTCATCCTGCAACTAGAGCCTTTGCTACGAACTCTGGGATGTAAGTCCAGGACACTCGGGGAAGCCTGGCTTTTTCAGACCCTAAACAGACGCAGCCTGCAAAGGGCAAACCTGCTCTCTTTAAGCAAGCAGGCATGTGCCATGATTTTCTGCACATGTTAAAGCAATACATCATCAGTCAGCTACTGATCTATTTTACTGTATTTGTGGTTTTGCGGGCTAACACTAATGGGAACATTATAATCCTTTCAGCTATAAAAATGAATATAAAACATACTAATTTTGTAAAAACAAAGGAATACATCAAGAGTGAGATCTGCAAGAAGAAATGTCCTAGACTTTGGAAAAAGGCCTCAGGGTGAACCCTGGGCTCCCACTGCAGGAACCACCGCGGGCCTCCCCCCTGCCGCCCTGAGCCTGGCTGGCTGACTGACCCAGGGAGGGATAAATGAGAAGACACAGGAAGGCGCTGGCACAGGGTGGGCAATGTGGAACCTGCTCAGGCACAGCACTGCATTTACAAAACTCCATGCCAACCCCCACAGGCAGGCGAATACACACACAAAAGTTCAAGAAACAAAAAACTGTTGATCACTAAAAATCTTCAAATCATCACCTATCATGCAGAATATAAATGGATACAGGAGTGTGCAGGTCAGCTTAATAAGTAGTCTAAACAAAACAGGAGTCTAAACAAAAATAATGACATTACAATGAGAGTATTCCAGCACCGTGTGTATTCAAGATGAGTAAGTGAGGACACTGGTAATAACGACACCAGAACGACGGGCACAGACCAGGACTTCCCCCCTGCTCTCAGGGACATGTGATCACCCCAACGACAGCACTAGTGACTTGCCTAATAAGCTAAACCACTATTTCTTCAGCAACTGGATGGTACAGAGCAATGACTTTCAACAGCAGGTAGTGGAAGTAGAATGGAAAGAGCTGCAGAGTGGAAGTCAACTGTCACACCCTGGCCCTACATCTGCCACCTACTAGTCAGGGCAGCTTGGTTAAATCAATTAAACCTTCTGAGATTCAATTTTTCACATCTGCAAAATGGGGACAATTCATATTTTCCCTGTTAATTTTAAGAGTTATCATGAGAATCAATAAGGAGATAAAAGAGGAGAATTTAACATTCAGTGCTATAAAATAGTATGATACTACTACAATGATTACCAGTCTGCTGGAATAAAATATCTATATTATAGTTCATTGAGTTTTCTTGTATTCATCTGTTTGTTTTGCTTCATGTCTAGGAAGTTGGCTAGTAAATATCAATGGAATTTGCATGGCTAAGGGGATGAAATAAACAAAGACATGATAAAATGGTCCCTTGGGGAAGGGGACAAGGACTCACAGACCTCAGAGCTTGCTCCTAAGAGGGATGGCCCATCAGCCTCGGCTGCCTCGAGAATATCACTCAACGCTTGTGGCAGTGGAGCCCAGGCCCACTCCTCGCCGTCCACCCCGCAGAGAGAAAGAGCAGCAGCAGGCCATCGGCGGCTCACTGGACTGGTACCCGGGCCCAGCAGCTCTACGGGCACTCTAACCTGGTCTCATCGTGCTGGAGGCCATCATGCACTCCATGCTGCACATGAAGAAACCAAGGCCAGCACAAGGCAGCCTGTGTAAGACAACATCACTACTAAAGGGTGAAGCCAGAACCCGAACCTGGGCTGGCTCAACTAAAGCTTAAGCGTGGCTCCCACTCACTAGCCACAGTGCTGTGCCACACCGTGCTGACAGGACACAGCTATCTGATGATTCTGTCTCAGTAATCTTCACTGGAGAGTGCACTGGCAATAATTACTGCCCAAGAATCAACTTATGGACAAAACCATATGCCACATAACCATGAAGAAGGGCTGGGACCATGGAGATGCAGATTCTCTAGAATTTAGATGCTCTCATCGGTTCCAGCAGGAGGAGGGAGAACCAGCTCCCTCCTGCCCATGTGCTGTTCCACCACAGCGCCCATCCCTGGTGGCGCAGGCAGCAGCAGCATGGGTTCCCATCTCCAACTTCTCCTATGCTGCCTGGGGAACAGCAGCAGCTGGGAGCATTCCCCTGGGCAGGCCCCATCCCTGCAGGGCCCTCCTCCAAGCTTTAGGACCTGAAAATCCCAGCCTCTTCTCTCTGCTTGTTATCACCTCTGTTTTCATCAGTTTTCTTTTGCTGTCACAGTCCTCCAACAGCGACTTTGACCAATTTGCTGTATTCAACAATTCTTGTCAATACCTACGGTGGCTTCTACTTTCTTAAGTGGACCTTGACGGATATAGTTGCTATCGAAGCTGCTTTATTTTAAAAGAACCCTCTTAAGAGTTATTTTCATAGTAAGATTTAAAGTAGATTAAGCATTTCCCAAAGCGAACAGCATCCCAAACATTCTAGAAGTAACAAACATACCTGACCAACAAGTCCAAAGGAACGGTCCAGACTTCTCTGGTCTGTGTATTTTCTGATTTTATTATGTAACCATCCCAACTCGGCAAGTCTGACTGCTGTATCTCGCAAAGATTTACTTAGGTTTGCCTAAAAAGTAAATATAGCAACAGTTAAAAATTAAAAATCAGTACTAGAATTTCAATTATTATTTTTCTCAACCACTTGTACTTTTACTATTAATATTATAATTCATAGGTTTCAATACATAAAAGTTAAAAGTAATTAATATGCCATCATTAAAGGGAAAGAAAAAAACATCAGGTGACAGCAGCAACATAAAACACTGTGACAGGAATGTTGAACTCATGTCGAGTCACCCTACAGCACGACTGGCCGGGACCTGTAGCTGACGCCTGGCGGGGCACAGTCTGCCACTTCAGTCACTCTTTGAAAATGCTAAGGGACACAGTGCAACACTATACCACAGAAGGGGCCATGGGAATGGCAGGTTCTAGAAGAAGAAAACAAAAGCAAGCAAAGATCCCTGATCCGGAATCCTGTACCAATGGCAAAGATGCCAAGCTGGACCTCTGTCCTCAGGTACCTCAGACATCACTGTAACAGGATGAGGAAGTCGGCCAGGTGGGGTAGCCATATCAGTAAACACGCGGAAAGGAAGCACATATTTATTAATTACAAAGGGCTCCATGACAAAATCACACAGCCACAAACTGGGCAGGGAAACATAAACCAGAACTTAAACTGGGTACAATTTGACTGGTACACCCAATTTTATGAAATCTCAATACCACTTTATAAATTAATAGCTACCTGGACTTATTTTTTTTTTGAAAATTTCAACGTAGATTTTATGTTACTGTACCTTTCCTTCTACTTTGTAACAATTTTCAGTGTTGCTCATTTTTATGTTTTTGCCATCTATGCCCTGGAAGACATACAGAATGTCCCTTACCAGAGCTGCTTCAGTAACTTCCATAGTGCCTGCAAAATGATTTTTAAAAGAGAGCAATTATCAGACAACACATCTTAAGATGAAGTAGATTTTATAGCACAATTAGATTTAAATTATATATTTCCCGCCAGGACAAAATGTACAAACTCAATAAATGGGCTCAAGATGAAAAAGAAAGCTTGAGGTTAGAAAGAAACTAGGACTTTCTGAAAAGGGAGTGGAGACCACACAATTTCTATCCAAAGGTCTTTTTAAAGGACAAGGCTCTATGTGGGAACTTACTGTATAATCAAGGTAGCAGCACAAACCAAGCACAAAGGGATGAATTACTTAATAGAGTGAATCTGGCAAACAGGTTACTACATAGCAAGTACACCAACCTGAGTTCCTAACACCAAATAAAAGGAGTTAATAGAACAGAAAAGATCTTTATGGTTTCCACAATTCCTTTCAACAAAAGCTAAGTTTGAATTTGGGTGTTAGGCCAAAATAAAAAAGGGAGGCAATGCCCTAAAATCCAAGACATCCGTTGTGGGAGAGAGCAGCCTGAGCACCCAGTCTGGGGTCAGCATTCACAGAGCCACCCAAGCCGGCACCACCAGAGGCAGAGGACAGGTGTGTGCTGCACAGTCATGGCTGGGATGTTCTATAAAGATTGACTAGATCAAGTTCCTTAATAGTGCTGTTCAAATCTTACACATCATTACTGACTATTTTTGTCTGCTTACTCCATCCATTACTAAGAGAACGAAGTTGAAATATCCAACTATAATTATGGGTCTGTCTGTTTTTCTTTCCAATTCTGTCAGTTATGCTCTGTGTATTGTGAAACTGTTAGTAGGTGAATACAGGTTTAGGATTATTATTTCTTCCCAAAGAATTGACCCTTTCATTGTTCTGAATGCCCCTCTATCCCTGGTACTGCTCATTCTCTACTTTGGTATTAATACAGCCCCCTCTTTGTCACGGCCAGACTATCATTTTCCACCCATTTCCTTTCAACCTGTTTGTGTCCATACAGTTAAAATGTGTCTCTTGTAAGCAATACATAGTTGTTTGAATGATGGCATTTTTTTAAAAAAACTGTCATTTAAACCAAGTGTTTACACATTTAATATAATTACTAATATGCCTAGGTGTAAAGTGACCTTATTGCTATATTTTTCTATTTACCCCACTCTTCTTTTTTCCTTTGTACATCCTCTCCTGCTTCTTTTGGATTAATCCAGTATATTTTTAAGTCCATTTTATCTCTTAGCATTGTATAGAATACAGGTTTGGAGGCACTGGTTAGGGATCAGGTGAATAGCATTCTGACTCAATCTGGAAGCTCACATGCTAAGCCAGGAACACACAGCTGTCACACACAACCCAAAAGTCTGGCTGCTGTGGACATAAAGAGGCAGGTACATGCAAGGGACACACAGGGACAGGCAGAGTTGTGCAGATGCTGGAGCCTACTGCAGAGGGCTAAGGACTCCGGGATGTCCCACAGTTCTAACAGATGCTCCTCACCTTTGCATTCTATGCAAGGACAGATAACACCTACATCAATTTCAGAACCAGCAGATTATAAACCAACTGTAAAACGCAATCTTCTATTTTCAGGGCACTCATGTTTCAAACACTGCTATTTGTAGTGTTCTCAAGAAAGAAACTCAAACTTCCTTTTAAGCACTGATACTGTGAATAAGACAGACACAGCTCCTCCATGAGACTTGGGCTCTGGTGGAAGAAGGTGACTTTTCCCCAGGGCCTGACGCAGCCTTAGAGGCATTCTAGGGAGAAAGGCAGGATGAGAACAGAGCCAGAGCGTGCTCAGGATGAGCAGAGCAGACAGCAGCAGAGGGAGGAGGCCACACGGATGACCAGCCACGAAGCGGACGGCCCCGGGAAGAGTCCATGGCATGAGGTACAAAGCCAGACAGGCTCCCCAAGGCCCCGGACATCAGGGACTCTGGGCTTCACCCTGAGCACAATAGGAAACTACTAAAGGGCTTCTTCGGGTTAGTATTCTGTATCGGCATTTCAGAATAAGGGATGGATGAATCCTAAAGGTTCAAAGAAAAGCAATGTGAAAACACATCCTTACTCACCACCCGTGTCCCCTTCTCTCCTTGACCGTGTCATGTTTCGAGAAACAGTGTTTGGGATACCTCTTGAGGTAGTGGTTTGTGAAGAAGGCTGATTTGCAGTTAGAGTCCACGCAAGCCGTGACCCCAACTGCTGTCGAAGGCAATCTCCTACCCCAGGAGCTTGATGAGACTGTCTAAAAGACACAAGTAACATTTAATACCTTCAAATAACCAGGCTATTCACTGAAGAGACAAAAACATTCCTAGAAATGCTTCTTATATCACTATAGTGAATTACATAAAATCATAAATCTAAGATAGGTGATACCTTGATTTACCCTAACCAAATACATCAATAAGTCTCTGGACACTGCCCAGGCCTCCTTGGGATCCCTAGCCTTGCACTCAGACCCAACATAGCTGTGCTAAAAATCATCCTACTGCCACCTCCCACATGTATTTCTTACCCTAAAAATCAAAATCCATTTAACTTCTTCACAAACACATAACATACGTTACCCACCTATAACCACTTTGAAATTCTCTCTAATATTAACTTCAAATCAACATCTTCCCCTGCTCCACATTTACTGAGCAGAGGAACTTCCCCTCCCACACTGCCCAATGGGCCTGTCCTCACATGTCTCTGGCCGTCAGGGTGCTCACTAGGAAAAGAGATACTGCAATTTTTAATTAATCTCTAACATGTACAAACCACATCAAATCCAAGGCAAATACACATTCAAGGTCAAGATGGTTTTTGAGTAATTGTGAAATATGTCAAAGTTGCTTTTTGAAAAATCTAAGAACCTGATAGCTGATTTCTAACAACATATGCTTTGACGACTGTGGCAAAAATACCACTTCTTGGACTGTAAAACACAAAACTGAGAATCTCAACTGCTTCCAGGGCCTGGAGCTCTGATTTAGTAGTGGTACAACACCGGTGGGTCCATCTACAACCCACTCGCAGAGTAAGAGAGATGAGGAAAAAACTGAAACCACCCTTGTTTAATTCTATTTTCACTGGGGAAAAAAGTCAACAACATTACTAAAACTGTCTTTGAGCATAGTTCTAAATTAAAGAGAATGATTCTAAAAGATTGTTTTCAGTTCAAAGTTCTCTATACAGCTTACACAGAATAACTACTTCAAATTCTAAGGTAGAAATGAGAATGTCAGTTTATTCTTTAGCCAGAACACAAGTTGTAGACTCTATTTGTGGAATACTCTTCTCATAGGCATAATGTTTTCTACATAGAGTGTGTGGTACATGTATTCTATTTTCTAATATCTGGAACATAATTTTGTAACTCACAAAATGATTTATAATCCCATTATGCTCACATGGGAAACATTTATTTGAAGCTGAATCCTTGGTCACTGTTTTTCTGGAAAAATATCCATTTTATAATAATCTGCCTTAATGTGATTTCCAGGAACCAACTACAGCAAAAAGAAAAGCCATCTGTTTATCTATACATAGAAATGTATATTCAAAAACAAAAACAAAGCTCTGGAGTCCACTAATGACAGTGGCACCTGCTTTATTCTCAACCATAAATTCTGTATTTCCTCAAACATGTTTGGACATGCTTTTGATATCTTAGTAAACAATCAAGTATATAACATCTTCACTGGGCATTTCTGCTTTTTATCATCTTAATTCACATGCACTAAAATGCCATAACCCTTCGTTTAAATATCTTGGCACTTGTAGATAGTTCAACCTTATTTTCTTTTACTTACTGATTTTTTAAAGAATCCAAAGAAGAGAAAAACACATACAAATGAAGAGGCCACTATTCACTGAGAGATACATTTGAGAACACAGAGAACAGCTCGCCCTCAAGGTCCTTCACAACATGCACCTCCACTGATAGGTGAGAGCTGGCCGAGACTTTTTACGATCAGTTCTAACGATTACAAAGTGGGAAGGATTCCTACTGTGATGCAGCTCTAAGGAGGATCACCCTGAGACAGAGCATACTGGACACAGTGCCCAGTGGGAATGCTGCCCAGCACGTCTGAGGCCCTACCTATGCTGTCAGTGAACACAGGTGCCTAATGAGAGGCCTGAGGCATTTGTTTCTGCATAGAGGAGCCTGGACATGTCAGCCTGGCCTTACCCCGGAAGGAGAGGCTGTGGTGTTGGCACTGGGCCACTGAGGCCGCACAGGCTGACACTGCTGATGCCGCTGCTGCCCATGCTGCCGGAGCTCGGGGCTGACGGGGCGCTCCGGTCCTGGTAACTCAGGGGGAGGCTCTGAGGCCGGGCGTAGTAGTAGGGAGTTGAATGAGCATCTCTCGGTAATGCTTGAGCAAATAAAGCAGCATAGCTAGAAACCTGGAAAAACAAAAAATGCATCAGGAATACAGAGATAGGAAATTACAGAACAGTTTTCCAAAACCTACAAAAATAATTTCTATTCAAGTTCTCCTTCTCTTTCTAAGATTGGATTTGGATTTCATTCTTTATTAAGCAATAACTAGTTGACATGCTTTTGAAATATGCCAAAACTGATAAAGTTTCAGAAAATTTTCTGAAACTCCAACAACTATTACATTGTCTGATAACTAAACACCTTATTTATTCCAAATTCAAGCAAACTGAAACTCAGAATAGTTTTTAAAAGTTTGACATTGCTATATAATAATTGCTTTATATTTATGTATTTTATTACTTACATTTATATTTATTACATGATGATTGCTCAGACTAAGGCTTTAGAGATAGCTATAACTCTTTCACATATATTCTTCAGCTCTGGAGTACTCAAATGTCTATCGTAGAATATCTTATTACACGATACTCTGGGACATGGAACAGCCAATAGCTCTCTGAAATACCTCAAAGGACAAAAACTGAACACGGTGACAACAAAGCTTCACTGGTTTAAGAGTCACGGATATTCAGAACGAGAACTGAAACCACAAGAAACTCAGGCGTCCTCCAGTTCCTGAAGAACTACCCAACTGTGCTGGTATTAGTAACTTTTCAAAGCAAACATTTTGAAAACTAACAATTTTTTCTCTATTTAATCATCCATTGTTACATTTGAATAACTGCAAAAAACATCTTCAGGGAACTATGCACTGACAAAAATGCCCTTTAAAAAAGGAAAAAGAAAGCCCTGGACCTTCCAGGACTAGATAAGCTTTTTGCTTTTCTCCTATTATTTTCTTACCTGCAGAAGCTGATTCTTATCAAAATTTGGTGTAGCTACCCCAACAAGAGACAGCACGTTGCTAGCGCAAAGCCACTAACCTTGCTTGGCTGCTTGCGTGGGTCCTCGCTAAGGCTCAGCAAGAGGTAGAGTATTGACCACTTGTTTTTCAAAATTCCCTGTTCAGAAAGAAAGTGAATGTTGAAGAACTATTTTATATTACTCTCCAGTCTTATTTTCCTCTCTCCTAAACTATATTTATTTCCAAAATAGAAACGCATTTTAAAATTCACATGGTGACATCAAATTTAACTCTGTTCACTTCAGGCACGTAACAAACACCACCCCTCAGAAGGCAGGAGACAACTTTCTCACACAATCAATACCCTCGGGTCCTCTACCCTACATGCTATCTCCAAAGTCCCTAACAAGAACAAATTTTTTAAATTACCCTTTTCTTGAATAACGGTATCGTCCTCCCTGAAATAATTCATAGAATATATAAATCTCTTTATTTACAAAATAAATTATGGGATGGTTTCTTACATTACACAAATTCTTCATTAAATTAAACATTCCCTAAAAGTTTGTTTTAAAGAATAAGCTCATCCCAGGTATTTAAATTTTTGTCTAACTTAAAAATTGATTTACACAGACTTTTTCAGAAACTCAACCGATTCCCCAGCTGAGGCCACAAGGATAAGCCCTGGTAGAGTCTAGTCTTGTGGTAACAGAGAAGCGGGCAGATGCTCCGTGACAAACAGCACTTCACAGCTTGTGCACAACTCCCAGAGGAGACACAAGTCTCTTAGAAAGATGGGCCATGCAAAGGGAGAGAGGGAACAGAAAGCAGATCCATCAGGCTAAAGCCGGGAGTCATACGGAAACTGACACTGGAAGAAGGGGCTGAGGACAGCAGGAAGCCCGTGGAGGAGGCAGGGAAGTCCTTCAGGGAGGCAGGCACAGACTGACTGGAGGGGACCAAGTAAGAGGCGAGAGCATGCCTAGGAAGACCATGGTTACAGGGAGGTGAGCAGCTGAACTTGGTCTCAGTGAGCCAAGGACGTGGTCAATCATGTCACCCTGGCAATCCCCCGTGAGCAGGTAGCAGAGCCTGGGAGGCTCAGAGACTCACGTGGACACACACGCAACGATATGCTCTCTTCACGGGATCCCACAGCTCTTCATGTCGCAGAGGAGTCAGTAACAGCAGCTGCCATTTAGGGGTGCCTACGGGGCCAGGTGAGTTACACACATCACCTCCTGTCACTGCCACAGCCACACCATGACAAGATTCATTCTCTTCACTCCAGTGAGAGAACAAAGGGATCAAACCTAAATAATTTACCTAAATCACAAAGCTATAACGTCTGCCTAATTCCAAAGGGACAAATGAGAAACGTCCTTACGAGGGCAATAGATAAGGCTCAGGGTCCAGAAGACACCCAGGGTGCTCATTCGGGGCAAGAAGTGAGCATGTCATCATTCCGGAGACAGAGCACAGGAAAAGGCAGGCTGGACGTGGTGGAAGTGGTAGAAAGTGCGGAGAAATGCTCCTTTCAGTGCTGAGGATGCCGAGCCTCGAGTCCTCTGGGAGCTTCCTAAGGACTGTCTCAGTACGGATGACCAGCAGCCCCAGGGAAAGAGGCACAAAACACTCTGTACTGCAGTAAGAGAGCACTAGGGTAAAATCTCAGCTTTTATTTCAGAAAAGATGTGTATGAGGGTGAAGAATGGAGAAAGTTCCAAAAATGAACAAAATTTAAAGGGGGAGGCAGCACTTTTTACTACAAAAAGAACAGGTATAAAACACCCAGGATCGGTATGCTGAAGAACTTTTAACGTGTGCCCAGATGTGGACAAGAGAGGGAAACAACAGAGAGGTGGTGAAGCATCAGGAACGCCACCAGCAGGGAGCCACCACCACCCCTGGGCCTGAGGGAGTGGGGTGGGAACAGGGAGGGGACCAGGCAGGGCTGGGGACCAGGGAGGGCATAACAGTAGGTAGAGCCTGGCCTCAGGACCCATGGGCACCTCTAAGCCACAGGAGAACGGATACCTGGTAGCAGAGGAGGTGACAGCTCTGCCTCTGCCTCTGCCTCTGCCTTCTCCCACCCCACAATTTCACATTGTGCTTAGGCCCTGGCATGCAATCCACACCTGTCGACCCTCCAGAGCTCAGGGCAGGAGGGGGAGAGAAGAGATAGATCCACGCAGCAAACGGAATTGCCACAATAGATCTGGCAGCACAGACACTTTACACCACCCTACACCACTTAAGACCTGCTCTTAGATTCTGAAAACTAAAGGACCTAAATTAGGTATAAAACTTTAAAAACTGTCCACAAACTACACTGTAAATGTAGAAACACATATCAGGACTCCCTAAGATCTAGAGAAACATGGAAGTAAACGTCTGTGCAAGGCAGCCATTTACCTAAAGCCCAGCCCAGACAGCTCAGTCCAGCTTACCTGGCGCTGTCCTGAGCCCCTCTCATTGACAGAGGCCATCCACCCACTGTCTGCCCACAGCCCCTGCACACCACACCCTGCCCCTCTCACCTGGCCCAGTCCCCTCAGGAGCCGCCCTCCCTCCTTGCAGCCTTTCCCTGACAGCTACACTTTAGAGTCCAGCCCGGGATCCACAAGGCACCTTCCCCACGTCTCCACATCATACCCGGACCCGCCCTCCGGTCCCTGACTTCTTCCTCCAGGTCCAAAAACAAGAGCAAACAGTAAGCTGCACCTCTGACCCTTACTCCCCATGGTATGCACAGCGCACATACAAATGAGGGGCCCCCACTAAGAAGACAGGACAAAAATAATATCAACGACCTATGCACTTTTGAAGAAGTAGGTAATTTTAGCAAAATGATGTTATGGCTACTAAACTGTATATATTTTTCTACTTTAATTACCAGTGTAATACTATTGTTTTCTAATATTTTTCATCTTGTGTCAGCTATGCAATGAAAAAACCAAGCAAGTTAGATTTTTAGTTAGCCCTGGGGAGCTGGTCACTATTTAAAACATTGATGTTTAGGAATAAACATTCAGAGTTCCAAACAGAATTTTGGAAAACAACCATTTTAAATTACAAAGTTCCTAAATATGTTCTCATCCAATGGCCAATATTAACAGACACAACACTTTCACTGGAGGAAATTCTCCCTTTTGGAATCTTGTAAGGCTGGGAAATGTGAAACCCAACCAGCAAGTCTTTTTAACTTCAATGCACAGCAGTTGTTCTTAAAAATGGAGAAAGATTTAAGAAAAGCAAATGACATAGCAGTTTGAAACAATTTGCCTGGAAATGAATGTACAAAAAAGGTTCCTATTTCTTACTTCGTAAATATTTCAAAAATAATATTGCAAATATTATCAAAGTATGAAAAAAAAGTATACTTAAAACAGTTAATCCAAAGTCAAACTGAATTAACGAATCAAAATGGTCAGCAAATAAACTTAGGCTTGTTTTAAGAGCAAGCCTCTTAAAACATGTATATGAATAGAGAGGAAGACTCAAAAAATATGAGTTTAATTACTGGAAGCATTAGGCCTAACTCAATCATTTTTACTGTTGCAACACGAACATTATTTGTTGAGCAATGCATTAAACCTCTCTGGATTCACCTTCTCTATAAAAGGAGAGAGTGAGCTGGATGAACTAAGTTCCTTTACATTAAGAAACCACAAAAATCTCACCCTATGAGTCAATTAATTTATTGGTGTTAGAAAAGTCTTTTATAAAAATATCAGGTTAGAACTATTCATTTTCAAGTATCAACATCTAATCACGAAACAGTCAAAATCAATGTTTTTAATTGAGCACAGCAGTACAAATTAGAACCTAATGAGCAATAAAGTATATAAACCAGATAAACTTTTGCTACCAACTATAGACAGGTCAAGACTTCTACCAATGTGCTTCCTCCCAGCAATGTAATTAAGGTGACTATCACAAAACTTAAAAGTCCGATCATGTTCCCAGTGTAGCTTTAAATCCAGCTAAAACTTACTTTGAATATTGAAACTCTTTTAAAAAAGCAAATGCTATCTACAGTTAAAAGCCACTATTGATTACAGAAAAGTTTAACGTGACACCACAAGAAAAGGTTTAAATGTTCTGATACCACTAATAATACACTCAGAATACTATTGCATGCCTGTGAGTGAAGTTTTCTGTGGAGTTCTGAAAATAATGCAGCATCTGTTTCTCTTCTCTGTCGAATAACTGAAAAGTCAGAAAATAAGCATGTTAATCTCTCGCACCAACATTCATTTTTATGATACTATTTCACTTACGACAACAGACAACTCTGAAGTGATGAGCTTCAGAGTCAAGAGTCCTTGTCAAACCAGACGATGAGTGACTTTTAAGCTACATGAATCTGGTCATTTAACCTCTCTGACCTTTGCAAAATATGGAAAATACTAGGCTGGGATTAAAGAGTTTTTGTGAAAGTTACATAAATAATGGAAATCTACACATCTCACAGTGAGGGAAATATCAATTTCACTAGTAATAGTTAACAATGGCTACCTTGAGGTAGGGATGGCATGTGAAACAATACACAAAAGTTATAAAATCCTGATAGTTAACTTGAAAACTATACATTCTAAACATTTTTGTTAAGATACACAGCAATGTTTCCTCTTGTTTTAGTAGAAAATGTAATAATAATTGCTGTTTCAAATAAAAATAAAAATGGCACATTAATTTTCATCCACCAATTCATCTTATTAATAAATGTCTTTGGATGTTCCAGCTACTCTTACAAATTACCTGAAATCAGCTATAGCAAAAGAGAAGTTCATTCTATGTTCTACTCCATGGAGAGGGAGAAGCTATAGACCATATATGGGTTTCCTGAGGGAAGGGACCCACCTGCTCACGTTTGCAGCACTACACACACCACCTGTGCACAGGGCCTCTCAAAGAAACTATCCCACCTACTAGAAAAGGTACCACATTAATAAGCTCACTTACAACTCCAATACTCTCCAATGAATCTTTGTGCTTATCCCATTTTAGTATGACTTTATTAAAATCTCATCAGCCAATCACATGTAGCCTTAAATCTTCCAATTTATTTCTACAAAGACAATGACTGACTTTACAGCCAACATTCTTTCATGTTCATCAACTAAGAAAGGGTGCTGGATCATGTACTAATCATATGAATCACATACTACAGATTACGTAATCCTAATCATAACTCTACTTTCAACTTCTCCTACATAGAAAGGTAAAGCTATCTTTAAAATATATAAAGTGCATTCAACAAAATTAAAGCAATTAAAATTTAATATAATTTACTATTTTTAAAACTTATATAAATATACTCCAACCATTAAATTAAGCAAGTGATGTTCTTTCTATAGAATAAGACTGACACCACTTCATAGATATAATATAGTCATAGGATAATAAAATAGTAAGAATAAAAAAGAACACAGATTTACAAATAAGTGTTTTATCTATTAAATTGCTAAGCAAAGCAAATCTCGAGTTACAATGCACTCCACTTACCAGTGTGAAAAATTAAGGAATTAACAAGTGTTAGGTTTTGTCATATATGATCACTTTTCCTTTTTATATACTAGATTTTTATATTTGAAGTCAGCCACATAAAATGAAAACTTAACTTTTCTGTGTTACTCCAGAGGGCAGAGATATCGTAAGTCAACTAATCTGATATCAACAACTATAATCAAACTTCATAAAATTTGATAGATCAATAGTGACCATCACATGAAGACTACAGGTACTCAGGGAGGTGGTACTCACTGGAGGTGCCCAAGAAAAACTGGTGGGGACACCCCACAAGAGGCATGCTGAGTCAGCACATTTGCCCTCAAAAACACAGCACCCACACAAGAAACACAAAGTGTACATGGTTAGTTTTCTTCCTTAAAAAATCCAAGACTTCCTTGAATAGCTAATGCAATGAAGTAGCTGTCAGTTGTACTATGAGTCCAGACAAACTTTATGTTTAGCTATTACATAATATGCTCACCATGAGGTCATCAAATATAAATTCGTAAAGGGAATGGTCTGTTAATATAGCACCTAACAGCTGGGGTCCTCAATAATAATCTAAAATGTAAAATTTAGGGTTCAAGAGGAGAGTACAGTGTTCTTACATTCAGTTTTATAGACAGGAAAGGAAAATAAATATTAGTAGGTTAACAGCAGGTCAAATATTCCATTTTTATTCCTCTGCCTTAAATACATGCACGTTGAGTAACACCACGGCTTTGAATCAGATGGACTGTTTCAGACTTAGGTCACTCACCAGGCTCTGAACAGGCAAAGACAACTGTGACCTCTTGAGTTCAGTGCAAGGACTCACAGGTCACAGACTCAACTACGTCACCAGCTGACACATCATCCAGTCTAGTCATGCAGCGCTGAGTAGGGACCTCCACACAGACCATTGGCCAAATACAGTTCATAATGCAACAGCCAGGATGGAAAACTTTGCCGTGAAGAACGGACGTCTAGAAGATGTTATTACTTAGACACAAGGCCAACATCCACTCTATCTGGGCAGTTTAACAGCCAGGCGCCAGCAGGAAATGCAGTGACCTTCATGGCAGGCCTCTTCTCCAGTCCCCTGGGCTTGGCTGATACAACCCAGAGAACTGTGGAGTGGAGAACTGGCCACCAGGAAACACAAGCCTTTGGCCAACATTAGAGCTACTCTGTGCATGGCTGCCACCTGCTTAAAGCCGAGCTCCCCCACCCAGACACGCTAGAGGCAAAGAGGAGTGGCAGAACCCCACCTGGCACAACTAGATAACTCATTAACAATAACAAACCAAGAGCTAATAAATGGGGAACTTTCTTCTCTAAGGTATTAACATTTAAGAAAGCTTTACATACCATCTCAGAATTAAAAGGTTCGCATAAGTTCTAAAGTACTAGAAGTTTGGATGGTGGCAATCTAAAGAAGTAGCCTTTGATTCACCAACACTTGTTTACTGCCAGGATAGTGTCTAGTGTTCTACATCACCTGGCCAAAAGGCACATAGTATTAATACTGCAAATCGTAAGAGAAGCAGGAAGTTATTTTAAGCCCATCTTTCTTCCTCACACTCTAAAACCCAATTATATTGTTATGGTATTTAAGATAAACCTCTTTCACTATGTTCTATTACTTTTAATTCTAAGACCAAATTGAGTTGTCATTATTTTTAATAGTACCTATGATTAAAATGTGGTTGGGAACTACACAGATATATACATATACACTCTTAAGCTTTGACGAGTTTAAGAATCCAACACGTAACATTTAAGAAAAATACGTACGTTCTTTCTTGATTTTTTCAGCTACTAGAAATTCATCTCTTTCAACAGTTGGGGCAAAGTTGCTGCCAATAACTCGAACAGCATACTGGAACTGTTGGGCTACATCAGCTGCAAGATAAATAAAAGCATGCAAATTATTACCAATCAGGTTAAGTTTTGATCATCAATAGTAAACTGGGTATACATATCATCTACCTTCCACCCCCCACCAAGGTCTTAACTGAGGACGTATCACAATAAAGGGAGTCACATGAGTTTTTTGGTTTCTCAGTGTACATAAAAGTTAGGCTGACATTTACTGTAGCCTATTAAGTATGCAATAGCATTATGTCTAAAAAAACAATGTATATACCTTAATTTTAAAATATAACTAAAAAAATGCCAGTGATCATCTGAGCCTTCAGCAAGTCACAATCTTTTCGCAGGTGGAGGGTCTGGCCTCTACGCTGATGGCTGCTGAGGCTGGGGTGGCTGTGGCAACTTTTTAAAATAAGACAACAATGAAGTTTGCTGCCATCAACTGACTCTTCCTTTCACAAAAGATTTCTCTGTAGCATGTGATGCTGTTTGATAGTGTTTTACCCACAGTAGAACTTCTTTTAAATTTAGAGTCGGTCTTCTCAAACTCTGCCACTGCTTTATCAACTAAGTTTGTGGAATATTCTAAATCCTTTGTTGTCATTTAAACCATATTCACAGCATCTTCACCAGGAATAGATTCCATCCCAAGAAAGCACTTTCTTTGCTCATCCATAAGAAGCGACTCCTCATCCATTCAAGTTTGACCATGAGAATGCAGTAGTCACATCTTTAGGCTCCACTTCTAATTCTAGTTCTCTTGCTATTCCCACCACATATGCAGTTACTTCCTCCACTGAAGTCTTGAACCCTCAAAATCATTCATGAGGGTTGGAATCAACTTCTTCTAACATCAGTTAATGTTGATATTTTGACCTCCTCCCATAAATCACATGTATTCTTAATGACATCTACAATGGTAAATCTTTTCCTGAAGGTATTCAGTTTACTCTGCCCGATCCATCGGAGAAATCCCAATCTATAGCAGCTATAGCCTTATGAAAAGTATTTCTTAAATAATAAGACTTGGGAAGTCAAAATGACTCCTTGATCCATGGGCATGAAAACATTAATCTCCTTGTATACCCCCATGAGAGCTCTTGAGTGATCAGGTGCATTGTCAGTGAGCAATAATATATTCAAAGGAATCTTTTCTTCTGAGCATTAGGTCTCAACAGTGGGCTTAAAATATTCAGTAAACCACTCTGTACACAGCTGTGCTGTCATCCAGGTTTTGTTGTTCCACTTATGGAGCACAAGCAGAGTAGATTTAGCACAATTCTTAAGGGCCCTAGGATTTTCAGAACAGTAAATTAGCATTGGCTTCAACTTAAAGTCACCAGCTGCATTAGCCCCTAACAATAGAGTCAGCCTGTCCTTTGAAGCCAGGTATTCACTTCTCCTCTCTAGCCGTGAAAGGCCTAGAAGGGATCTTCTTCCAATTGAAGCCTGCTCTGTCTACACTGAAAATCTGTTTTTCTAGTGTAGCCACCTTCATCTTATCCAGATCTTATAGCTGCAGATTCTACATCAGCACTTGCTGCTTCACCTTGCACTTTTATGTTATGGAGACAGCCTCTTCCCTTATACCTCATGAACCAACCTCTGCTGGCTCCCAAACTTTTCTCTGCAGCTTCCTTACCTCTCTCAGACTTCGGAGAATTGAAGAGAGTTAGGGCCTTGCTCTGGATTAGGCTTTGGCTTAGGGGAATGTTGTAGCTGGTTTGATCTTCTATCCAGACCACTAAAAGTTTCTCCCTATCAGCAATAAGGCTGTTTCACTTTCTTATCATTTGTGTGTTCACTGGAATAGCACGTTTAGTTTCCTTCACAAATTTTTCGTTTGCATTCACAGCTTGGCTAACTGGTTACAAGAGGCCTAGCTCTCAGCCTATCTCCACTTCCTTGACTTGACTAGCCTTCCTCACTGAGCTTAATCATTTCTAACTTTGATTTAAAGTGAGAGACATACACACTTGAACACTCAGAGGCCACTGTAGGGTTATTAATTGGCCTAATGTCAATACTGTTGTGGCTCAGGAAATAGGGAAGCCTGAGGAAGGGAGAGAGACTGGGGAATGACCTGGTCAGTGGTGCAGTCAGAACACAGATATTTATCAAGTCCACCTTGTAGTGCTCCCAAAACAATTACAATAGTAACATCAAAGATCATTGATCACAAATACCATAAAAGATATAATGATAAAAAGTTTGAAATATTATAAGAATTATCAAGATGTGACACAGAGACAAGAAGTGAGCATGTGCTGTTGGTGCCAATAGACTCGCTCAACGCAGGATTCCTTCAATTTGTGTACAAACCTTCAATTTGTGAAAATCACAGTACCTGTGAAGCAGAACAAAGCGAAGTGCAATAAAGCGAAGTATGCCTGTCCTCCACAAGGACGCTCAACCCCTGGCAAGGGCTGCCTCAGCAGAGGCCTTCCAAACCAACTCGCCCTTAAATATCAGAGGACAGGTATCGACACACATTTGAGGACAACATCTAACACAAAAAAGGGCGACAAAAACAGGAAGTAAAAAAGGAACACTCTACAAACAAGCAGGGAGGGTAGAGATGAGAAGCCGCCCAACACGCAGGGCTGTATCATACCGTCTCTGCTCCAGCACACAGAGAAATAAGCCACTCAATTCTACACCGAAAAGCAGGAATGAATCAACTCAAAATAACAAGCTCTGGAACCAGAGACCTGGGTTCCAAGTTGGCCCTGCAATTCACTAGCTGAATGACAGCAAACTACTTAATCTCTCAAGTCTTAGTTTTCTCATCTACAAAATGAGGTGCATGATAATTATACCAACCTTGTGTGTTTAGAAATTAAATATGCCATCTCAAGGTGTAAGCACAGGGTCTGGCATATTGTAAATGTTTGATGAATATTAACTATTTTTATTATTATTAACCTGAAAATGTTCTTTAAATACATACTGTGTGTACCACAGCCATTAAAATCACAACTCAAGAAAGTATCCACAGTTTTTAACCTTAAGCATGATAATTTGGTCTTCATCCTGAAGAATGCAGAAAGGGAACAAATTAAGTCTCTTCAACAGATTTGATCAGATTGGATCTCTAGAAAGGACCCTCTGGCCACAGAGGAGAAAAAGGATTACAGGAAGTACAAAACCAAATCAAGACCCTTGGATGGAATTGCAGAACTCAGTCCCAAATGTGAAGGCTCCAAAGCCATCTGGATGTGGGCCCAAGAGCTTGTAAACAAGACATTGCCCTCTGTATCCCTAAAGGATTATATATATAAATATATATATATATATATATATACAGTCAGATTTAACATGACAGCTTAACTTAAAGATGCACAAAAATAAATGCAGCTCAAATGAAAACAAAAACTCTACAGATGTATGCTTTCTAGAGACTCAAAAATCGATTGGGGGAAAAACTGAAGTATTTGGTAAGACTTAAGTTTCAGCGTTCCTGTTCCTCATCTATCGTTTGGCTTGTACATACCAAACTCCTGCTTTTCTGAAGGCGGGGAGGAGGGAGTAAGCCCCAAGTGTTTGGTAGAAGTGGAGCACCTAAACCAGTAATCCGCAACTCCAGATGCAGGTCAGAATAACATACCATGTATCTTACTGTTTCAGATACCAAGTTCCAACAGAGGCCTACAGGGTCAGAATCCCTAGAGATGGAGCCCACAATATTAACTTTGAGTAAGCATCACATTTAAAGAGTTCAAAATGAAAAGGCATAACGTTACAGTAAAAAGTCCCCTGTATCAACTATCATCTAGCCACCAGTTCCCCTTCCCACAAGCAACCAACATTATCAGGTTCTTGTGTAATCATAGTTGATTGCAATGCATGGCTCTAGTTGAAAAGCAATGCTCTAAAAACAACAAAATGAAAAACATTACTCTAGATCTGTGATTCTCAAACTTTTTGATCTCAGTGCCCCTTTACACTCTGAAGACTGAGGACCCCAAAGGTTTTTCATTATGTAGTTCCACAGTTACCATATTAGGAATATAAACCAAGACAATGTTTAAATATTTAAAAATAACAATAAATCCATTAAGTACAACTTTCAAATGAAGACTAAAACTTTCAAGTTTTAATATACATTTAATGTAAATTTTAATATACATTTTAATGTTCATTTAATATACATTGATTTTCCCAAGAATGCAATTACCATATAATCAAAAGAAGATCACACGTTATTTAGAACTTCATCAAGAGCTCTTCACCATTTTGGAAAATCATGAAACCAACAGCAACACCACTTGGTAGTGAATCACCAAGACAGCAATCCTGTATCTTCTGCTTGTGGTGCGTTCAAAGTGGTCTGACATATCACAGTAATCCTCTCACTTCTATATGTTGCATACTACAGCCACACCTGAACATTTATGTTCAAATACTTACCTAATATTAATTCTCCTTTATTTCTTCTCTACCTCACAAACAGAAAGAGGACTACAAAGTGCTGACTCTGAGAGAGTTGAAACACTCTCACATCAAATACATTGCTTCCAATGATAGGAATAATGGCTCGCCAAAGATGTGATAATAAGTAAAATGAACTCCTGGGTGGGGCAGAGATATGGAGATAGGATTTTCTTATCACTTGCTGGCAATATGTGTTTCAAGCAAATTCACAGATGTTAAAAGTCAACTGTAATTTTTTTTTAAAAAGATACCTTATAAAAACTTGATTCATATGAAATTCATCAAAAGCAACAAGTATCTATTATGCCTTGATTTCACAGTACTAAAAAAGCATAAAGCCAATTGTTAGCAATATGTCATTAGAAAATTAGATAATTAATCAAATGTTCTATGGAGTTATCAGATAAAATGTCCACTAATGAAAATCTTTTAACATCAAATGTTGTGAAGGCAGCAATTAATATTTCTCCTTTGCTCACTAAGAACAAATTTTAAAAAAAAGGTAAGCTACTAAATACTTATAAATTCTTCCATATAAACTGTAGCACAATTTGATATTATGAATATCATAACTGCTTGGCAACCCTAGCTATCCAGAAAACAGCAAAAAGAATATCACTTCATGACACTTTATTTGGAGAGGACCACCTCAGGATCTGAGAGCCTACTTACACTTAACTTAGAAACAATTCTAAATGGGGAGATAGCAGGATACTGAACTTTGCTGAAGAAAATCATTTCAATCTCCTGGAAGTAGTATAACTACTACAATCAAAAGGAGCTTCAATGTAAAAAATTTTTTCAAGTTGAGAAACATCATTCTTGCTCACAATGAGTGGCTTTCAAAATCCAGTTATGACAATGGGAATGTATAAATGTATGGAAAAAATTTTGGAACCACTGTTATAACAAAAACACTGATGTTAAAGCAGACAAGTCATAACTAACAATCTTAGCTACTTGGTTTCTCCTATGATTAGGAACATGAAACCAGAAAGTTAACTCAGTGTGCCAGTAACACAGACAGAAGACAGCAGACCATACTCACACCCACTTCAAGGCCTTTACACTTGTTCTCTCTGCCCAGAACCCTCCCATGTTCGAACAGCTCCGCTTGGCTCCACTCTGGTCTGTTTAAACACTTCAAAGGCTTTCCCTCACCTCTTCCCTGTCCATGATTTTACCCCACTTCTCCATCTTGGCACTTATTGTAACTGACTCCCTGAACAAAAACGCCTTTTGGCGTTCTCTTATGTTTCAAGTTCCCAGGCTAGCAAGATTTGTTGCCCAGAACTTTGTAATTTTCTGTTTCACTGATTCCCTCCCTTTTGGTTGTTTTTCAGAAACAGTGAACCCTTCCTGAGATAATCACAAGGTTTTACACCACCCAATTGTTCAGAGAAGTCAAGATAAGTGGAATTCCACCAAAATCTAGCCCAAGGACCTGCTGAGCAACCTACTCCTCACAGTCTTAATGCGCACAAGAACAAAAGGATGACCATATTACTATCTGCTCATTATACTACTAAAATCTCCACGCCGGGAGGGGCTTATCCACCAATTTTTGATCATGTGACATATGTGCCAGTGTCATTTCTCACTGTGCTTGTGTGCCCTACACTCCATATCAGACATGTAATGATACTCACTCACTTCATTATTCATTTCACCTCTAGAAATACCCTTGACCCCCTTGGTCAGGAGGCAGATTTGAGGCAGTCCTCCCACCTCCCAGCTGACATCCTCTGCAATAAATTTCCTTTCTTCCTTGATAATTCTTGTCCCAATAACTGGCTTTCTGCACAGTGAGAAATGGAGGGAACCCGCTTTGTAGGTTAGTTAACATTACCACTAACATTACATGTTTATCTCTATGTTTATCGTCTGTTTCCTCCACTAGAACAAAAGATCTGAGAATGACTTTGTGTATCTCTACATCACCAGTACCTAGCATAATTTGGGGGGTGAAGAGTGGTGTCCTCAAAAACTTCTTAGATGCATAAAGTGACAGAGTGAAACTACAAAATGTAGCAAGAACTATGTGAAGTCACTCATTTAACAGTGACACAAAATTCATCCTTTGCCTCTAAGGTTACCACAGAATAAATTATGTACACAAATTGTCATGAATCAAGACATAAAGGTCAAAATGCATTCTCAGTACTTTAAATGTAATTTTGCTTAAAGTTTTCCTTCAAAAATTGCATAATTTCTTTTACACATTTTGGTGCTTAAGGAGTTACCAGATGCTTTAATTACTCACAAAATCCCCTCAAAGAGCATCCCCACCAAACCAAGAACCAAGACATGACATCCAGTACCCTTTCTTTTCAAGTACCTTCAGCTACAGAATGGCTTTACCTATTGCACAAGATTGGTTTTTGGTTTTACTTCTTTGCCAAATCCGCAATGTGAACTTTCCCAGAACAGTTTTATATCAGATCAACTCTCAACCCTTTAAATCTGTGGTCCCCAACTCCCGGACCAGGCCGCAGAGCTCTGCCGCTGAGGTGGGGGTGCGGCTTGCACAGCAGGAGGTGAGAGGCCGGTGGGCGAGCAAGTGAAGCTCCATTTGCAGCTGCTCCCCATCGCCCGCATCGCTGCCTGAGCTCCGCTTCTGGCCCGCTCCCCCACTTCACCTAGTCCGTGGAAAAAATGTCTTCCACGAAACCGGTCCCCGGTGCCAAAAAGGTCGGGGACGGCTGCTTTAAACAGTAGAAAAATATGGCAAATAAGGGTGGTAAACACTCCCTTCGCATAATACGCAAACCTGTTGCACATTCCTAACGGAAAAATGACAATGACGTGGTTCGCCAGCACCTCGCACCTTCACCCTCCGCGGTGCTATCCTCGCTCTCCACCCCACTCAGTATGAACCCAAACGTGCGCAGACGCGCCCTCCCCCGATGCATGACACTAGAGAAGGGGGATAAATTCTCGAGCCGGCAGTCTTCCCGTCCACACTAACGGACCGACGAGCCAGAGTGAGCGGTGACTCAGCCTGCTCCGGGCCCTGGCTCCGCCCCTCTGTCAGCCGGGCCCCGCAACCTCGCTCTGGGCCAGGTCCCAAGCCCTCCGCTCCCTCTGCTCCGGCCCTCCGCCCCGGCCCTGGCTCCCAGTCCTCCGCTCCCTCTGCCCAGGCCCTAGCCCCTACCCCCTAGCCCCGACTCTCCACTCCCTCCGCTGAGGCCCTAGTCCTTAGCCCCTAGCCCCAGCTCTCCGCTCCCTCTTCCCCGGCCCTCCAACACTCCGCCACCGCCCTCTAACCCTACGCCCCAGTCGCAGTGCGCAGCCTTCCGCTCCCTCTGCCCGCGCCCCAGCCCCGACCCTCCGACTCTCCGCTCCCTCCACCCCGGCGCTCGAAGCCTCCAACCCAGCCCCGGTTCCCCGCTCCCCGCTCACTCCTCCTTGCCCTCGAACCCTTCACACCCGGACCCCGCTCCCTCCGCCCCGGATCCCAGCCCTCCAAACCTCCGCCCCGGCCCCGCATCCTCGCTCCTCCAGTCCCGGGATGGCTTCAGTCGCGCGCCGAGGGAGCGGCCTCCGGGCTGGGTCCACGGACCCCGAGAGGCCGGCCGAGCCTGCCTACCTTCGCTCCTGCCCAGGATGCGGCAGCACAGGTTCTGCAGCAGAACGTTTGGCGACTTCTGGTCCGGGGTCGCCATCCTCGCCCCGGAACTGCGCACGGGGGGGCCCGGCGGAGTCTCCGGCCCTCTGCTGCCTCTCCGCTGCCTCTCCGCTGCGCACAGAGATCGCCGCGGCACCCTCCCCAGCCCCGCGGGCTCCTGTCTCCAGACGGGCTAAGGCGCGGGCGCCACCGGCGACAAGGGCGCCATTTTCACGGAACCCGCGAAAGCGCGGGAGCTTCCCACAATGCCCCGCTTCTTCCTGCGCCGGGGCTACGCGTGCGCTGTCCTAATCGTCCCCCGTTTCCCGCGGCCATCACGGGCAGAGTGGGAAGGTTCCGGCTCAAGTGGCGGCCGCGAGTGGTACGAGGCACTGGGCTGGGCACGCGGCCTTGGTTTGAGTCACGCTTTCTATGAAAGAAGTCTGTTGAAAGGAGTGCAGGGGTTTTATGAATTTTAACCTGCGGTGTCGCCGCCGCCGTTGGCCATGTCCACCGGGCTTGGTTCCGCGCAGACCGTGGCTGCTCAGGGGCGCGATTTCGGCGATCTTGAGCCCCAACCCCAAACTCCATCCCCCATCCTCGCCTACCAGGACACCGTGGAGAGAATGAGTCAGTCGCGGGGAAAGTGAGGATTGGGGAAGCAGGTGGCCGCGGCGCGCGGCTGCCAGTGCCGCTGCGGGGGGCGCAGGTGGGAGCGCCCCGGACCCTCTGTCGGAGGTTGGAGGTCGAGACAGCACTAAGCGAGAGAGGGGAGGCCCGCAGTCAGCATCTCACTTTGCCGGCTGCCGTCCTGGCGAAGCAGCTACGGAAGCAGCGTCTGCAGAGAAGTAGAGCAGCTCACGGAGCCCAGCCCAGATTCGGAATCCTTAGCAAGTGAAGTGTTTGTTGTTCTCAGCCATTAAGTGTAGGGATGGTTTGTTACACAGCAGTGGTTGATTAATGCAAATTATCTCTGCCCAGTGCAGTCCACACGCAGCTTAATGGAGGGCATGCCCATCATGTGCCTGTTTACCCTCAGATCCGTCTCCTGCTTCTCCCTGATGCCCTACAGCATACAACATGCCACAACACAAGCTCCCTGGACAACCGGCCTCCTGGTAGGTTCAGCCAGTGGAAGTCCCAAGAGGAGACTGCCAAAGTTTTCCCTTTGCAGCACTCTGCCTTTAACTGTCTATGATAGCAGACAAGTCTCCTCTGTGGCAATATCTCTGCCAGCCAGCCTCTTCTTTCGTGGTTCCAGTCTCCTCTGTGCAATACTCATCATAGACATTGCTCCCATTGGAGGGTTTCAGAATATGACTGTGATAACATCAACTCTTCCTACTGTCTCTTCAGGCCTAGGAATAGCACTCACTTTCTGCACTTGCTAATCTCTAAGTTACCACCCTGCTTTAATTGTCCATGTAACTAATTCTCTGTATTAAATCCCTTGGCTGGGTGCAGTGGCTCACGCCTGTAATCCCAGCACTTCGGAAGGCTGAGATGGGAGGATGGCTTGAGACCAGGATTTTGAGACCAGCCTGGGCAACATAGCAAGACCCCCATCTCTACAAAAAATTTTAAAAATTAGCCAAGCATGGAGGCATGTCCCTGTGGTCTCAGCTACTCAAGAGACCGAGGCAGGAGGATTGCTTGAGCCCAGGAGTTCAAGGCTGCCGTGAGCTATGATCATGCCACTGCACTCCAGCCTGGGTGACAGAGCAAGACCCTATCTCTTAAAACAAATTTTTTTTAATTTAAAATTTTTTAAAAAAATATATTAAATCCCTTATGTGGTTTCTGTTTTGCTGTCTGGTCCCTGATACAGTCCTTCGTAGTAGGAGCAATCCTAGGCAATAGAGCCTTGAGATGGCATTCTAGGATTGAATTGTTCACCTGTCTAGGCTTGAATATATCAGTGACCTTTCTGAGGGTGGAAAATGAGGCAATAGTAATCTGGGGCATGTTGGAGCACCAAAATGGCTTCTATTATCATGTGTGGGTGCTTGAGACAAAGTGCTGGCCAATAGTAAGACCTTGAAAAATTAAGTAGATGCTGCAGTCAGGAGTTTCTATAGCAATGATGACTACAAAGACTACAGGCTGGGGTGGACTTTACAAAGTATATTCAGAAAGCTTGGGTAGTTACATAGCTCAGGATACAGTCATAGAACCAGAGAGTTCCTATAGTAGCCTGAAAGAATCTCTTATTCTCATACCTGCAAAGTAGTCAGAACTGAGGACCAGAACCCAAACATACTGTTCAGGTTGTAAAGTGTGATGTGAACTGAGCCCAAAGTCCTGCCAAGTCTCTTATATTAAGGTGGGTCATTAATTGAGAAGAAGTGGGCCCCTGAGATTAGGGATGGAGACATTTGAGTAAAACCTGAGATCTGACATCACCCAAACCTTAAACTGAGCACAAAACCTCTCCTCTGTACTCAGAAACTGGCCTTTCCTTGATTTCCTGGAGCAACTGGCATGGCTATTCTCATTAGCAAATTAAAATGGAATTCCAAAGGATTTAAGTAATCCAAAAGAAGGAATGAAAGAGTGAACAGAGAAACAAAAATCAAAGAGGGCAAACAGAAAAAATTTTAAAATGATATACTTAAATCTAACCATGCTAATAACTATAACAAATGTTCGTGGCTGAAACATTCCAATTAAAAGCAAGAGGTTGTCAAAATGGGGTTTTTAAAAAAGCAGGACCTAATTGTGTGCTATATATAAGATATTTAATAAGAAGACACAAATAGATTGAAAATAAATGAATGGAGAAAGATATACCAAGAAAACAGCAAGTAATAAGACTGCAGTGGCAGACTAATATTAGATAAAATAGACTTCAAGACAGGAGTATTACCAGAGATAAAGACAGACATTTTTTTAATGATAAAAGGGTCAATTCATTAGGAAGACGTAACAATTATGAATGTATAGACAGATAACAAGTTGAGAAGCATTCATTCTTGAAAACAATGGCTAAACTACCCATGAGAACAATGAGCCTGTAGCCTTGCCAGGGCAGACCCATGGCTTGGTTGGGAACCACAGTATTCCCATACAGGGCTGGCTGCCTAAATGATCCCAGAATGGGCAGGCTGGATATGGGGCAAGAGGTAAAAAGCCATGTTTCTGCCAGATAGGGAAGGCTTAGCAGGAGATGAGCAGGGAGGTGGGGTCCCAATTGGTGCAAGTGCCAGACCACGAGAACCACAGTGCCGCAATGGTTACTCTCATGTGTCAGCTTGGCTGGGCCTCCATGCCCAGATACTTGGTCCAGTGTTATTTTGGGTGTGTCTGTGAGGGTGTTTTTGAATGAGATTAACTTTTAAATCAGTGGATTTTAAATAAAGCAGATTGCTCTCCCTAATGTGGGTGAGGCCCATGTAGTCCATCAAAGGCCTGAATAGAAACCAAAAGACTGACCTGCCAGCAGGTGGCCTTTGAACTTGAACTGCAGCATCAACTCTTCCCTGGTTCCTACTAAATTTCAGACTTGGCAGCCCCCACAATTATGTGAGCTAATTCCTTGAAATAAATATCTCTCTCGCTCTCATACATATGCACACGAACACACAGAGACACAAGAATGTCTGAGATAAGCTGCCCACAGATATCTGGCTGATGGAAACCACGTGTATGTCTGGGGAGAACTGAGAGACCCTGTTGAAACAGTAAATCCATGGAGACATGAGAACTGGCTGCAACTTTGAATGTATTTCCAACGCGCACACAGATCCTTCAGCAGAGGATGAAACCTTGATGGGCCCTGCCCAAATCATGGCTTGCACATATGTTATGCAGGCACAGGGGCAAGCCCTAAGAAACCAGGCTAAAACAATAAAAATAAGACCAAAAAAAAAACCCTTGAGTAGAAATATCAGTGCTTGTACAACATAGGGAAGACAATTTCTACAGTTTAAGTCCAGAAAATTTTCAAATTTATGCACACACAGAGAAATGAGAAAAGTGACACCACTGCAGAGTCTACAAAGATTAAAAGGATGTAAGTGAACGTTATGAGCAAAATTATGGCAATAAATTTTACAACTTACATTAACGTACTAATTCCTTGAAAGACACAAATTACTGAAGTTCAAGAAATAGATAATTTGAATAACCCTGTGTCTATTAAAGAAATTGTTTAAGAGGAAAAAAAAGCCTTCCACAAAGAAAACTGTCCAGGTGGCTCTTCCCTGGTGAATTCTCTCTAGTAATAAAGGAAGAAATAACATCAATTCTATACAAACTCCTCCAGAAAATTCAGATGAGGGAATGCTTCCCAATTCACTCCATGAGGGCAGAATTACCCTGATACAAAAATCTGAAAAAGTCATTATAGAAAAAGTAATTTACACTCCAACATCCCTCTTAAACATATTAATAGATGCCAAAATTGCAAGCAAAATTTTAACCAATCAAATCCAACAATACATAAAAAGATGAACACATATGACCCCCTGAGCTTTATGCCCGTGTTAAGGACTGAATTGTATCCTTCTTGCACATCCAGACACTTAGGTCTAGCCCTCAATGTGACTGGAGACAGGTCCTGAGGAAGTAACTAAGGTTGACTGAGGTCATGAGAGCGGGCCCTAATCCTATAGGACTGATGTCCTTTCTTCAAAATAAATTGTGTTATATATATTTAAGGTACACAACATGACGTTATGGGAGATGTATAAATAGTAAGAAGGTTATTATAGGGAAGCAAGTTAACATCCGTCATCTCACATAGTTACTCATTTTGTTTTTGTTTCAAGAGTAGCTAAAATCTAATTATTTGTCATGAATTGTAAATAAACTACAGTGTTATTACCTATAGTCCTCATTCTGTACTTAGATCTCTGGATATGTTCAGGCCATGTATCTGCTGCTTTGTATCCTCTGACCTACGTCTCCCATTTCCTCCTCACCCAACCCCCACCCCACCCTAATAGCCACTGTTTTGTTCCCTATCTCTGTATATTTGAATTTTTTTTTTATTCCACTCTAAGTGAGATAATTCAATATTATTCTTTCTGTGCCTGGCTTATTTCACTTAGCATAATGTTCCCAGGCTCATCCACATTGTGGCAAAT